GAGCACTGCTGGACACTGGGGCTTTCCCACGGTGCAAGGCTTGCTCTGCTCTATCCAGCACTGTGCGGGCTCCCAGCTACGCGGAGCAGCCTCCCTTTGCAAAACGCTTATCTCACCCTCAATAACATCCACATGGGAGCTGCCTCTCCCCTCCAGATGTGCAGACCATGTCTGTGTGTCTGTCTCAAGATCTTACATGGCAGGCAGCAGCTCCCTCCCCTCCCTGCCCCTGCTCCCCTCCCTTTGTGGAGCCTGGGGCAAGCTCCCGTGTGCTCACCTCTTCCAGGAGCAGCTCCCTCTCCACTGCGGGTGCAGTGCCTAGGCTTGTGCAGTTGCTCAGCCTTGCTTTACTTTTAGGGATGTCTTGAAAACAGGCTCATCCTTCCCAGCCAGGGCACGCAGCCAGGTTCCCAAGCCCTGGGTAGAGGTAGGGCTGTTTTTGGCAGGGCTGTTAGCTGGGCTTCTCTGAAACTTCAGGTACTCTGTGTGACCATAGGTACCATAATCTGATCACCCCATCCTGGGGGCAGGCTGTTTGAGGGTACCCCCTGCTGCATCCCCATCCCTGTGTCCTATCTGGAGCAGCACTGCTTGGAAGGAGCTGAGTCTGACATTCCTCGGTCAGACTGTGCTTGGGGTGGTGGTTTTTCGGAAGTGCTGGGGTTTCATTTCTGTGTTGCCTTGCTGAAAAGCTGTGTGCTTCTGGGATGAGTCAGAGCAAGCAGCAGCCCAGCAGCGCTGGCGGCGGGAAGACAGAGCTGGTGATAAGGCTGCGATAAGGCCACGAGAGCCCTGCCAGGGCTGCAGGGAGCCGGCAGCTCCCAAGCCCACTGCCTGACCTCCAGCTGCACTGCTGTCAAGGAAGTAGGGAGGTTATTTTTGGGAACCACGGTGCTGGGAAAATCTGCTATGTCAACAGAGTGTGGGCTAAAGCACTTGGTGGTGTTTTCAAAATGCCCCTTCTCTGTGCTCAGATCTCTGGGCTTTGCCCCGGAGCAGTCAGGGAGTGTGGCTCCCTGGCCAGGGAGGGGTCTGTGGCCATCTGGCATGTCCATGGCAGCCGGGCCACCCATGCAATCTAGCACAGCAGTGGTAGTTGCCTCCAGCTGAGGTCCCACTTCCTACCCTCTTCCCGTGATCCCTGTCACCTTCCTCAGAGTCAGGCTGGAAACTCCCCTCTCCCTCCCTTCAGTTTGTTGTTTATCCTCATCTGATCTCCGTTTTGAAGGGGGTCCCTGTCCCCTGCGCTGCCCCATGTCCTCCCACCCCTGGCGGCACAGCCTGCTGTGGCAGGGGGGGGGGGGGAGGCGTTCCCCCCCCCCC